CCATGCAATAAGAACTATCCATTATGTATTACCTTCAGAAAAGCGGCATATGTAATAAATGTGATATGTAAAATTTTTAAATCTGTTATTAAGTAATATGTTGATTGAATAAAATTCATATTGATTACATCTTTTTACATGTATTTAAATTATAGTCAGAAATCTTTTTTTACTTGTAGAAATTAATGTAAAATACAGAAAAATAACTAATTAGTAACTGAAAAATATCAATATTAAATAAAAAAAATCTGGTCTGTCAATATCAAATATTTGCTAATTCTTTAAAAATGATTAACGTAAATTAATCTTGATATCTTCAGAAGAATCTGTAAATTGTAAATTAATTTATTTTACGGTGGCTTATAAATGTTCAACGCAACAAATGATGCAGTCATCGAATAACTTTATTTACGTCATGTTTACAGTACAGTCCTCCATGTACTTAACGACATCGACAAATATGCAATCTTCTGCTTCGTAATTGCGATAATGTATGTCGTGTATATACCGTGTGTAAAATAAATTTCAACGTTGTCATTTCATTGATGATTTTCTCCGAGTGTGAAAATTGTTCGTGCGGGATTTCATTTATGGAATATACGGCAATCGGATAGGGTTCACGAAAGGGCACAATTATTCCGAATTCAGACGTTGCGGAATACACAATCTTGAACAATCGTTGTGGAAACTTTTGGTGTACGTGTGCTGATGTGTGAGTGACGTGGTGGCCAGATATACATAGCTTAAAATACACGTACGTTGCTCGTTAAATCGCGAGAGCAAAAGTCCCCTTGGCTACTTAACTACAATACCGTGCGTTGATTTAAACCAGACATCTCGAGCTGACGATTCAAACGGTCACTTGGCTTGTGACGCTAGATTCATACACGAATGAGATCAGCGATTACGAAATGATTACGTGAAAACAATATGTTCCATTGGAGATCTAAGGACGTGTGTTACTTGTACATTATTCTAAAATGAGAACGTGGACGCCAAGCGTTTACGACGAAATCTTGGAAATACGAGAGAGAAAGAGCAAAAAGTGAAATGGACGATTTCCTTACAGAGATCGCAAGCTTTCACGTAATCTACAGACAATCGCTGTTTAGTGAAGCCAAATACGTCGCGAACAATGACTTTTAAACATTACTCGTCCACACAATTATCGTTGCGCGGAAGAAATCACGTTGATCTAAGACACAACGGATTTCATCACCGCCAAATTTAAGCCGGGCTTAAACATCCTCTTTAAACTTGACGCTTAAATTTGGTCCATCTACTTCACACTCGAACAACATAGGATTTTCAAGCTTGGTATAGATTTTAAAAGTAAAACTATCAGGCCTAATGTAAAGGACGTGTCGATAGTACCAGGTCTTCTACCTTTTTTTTTTTCTTTTTCTCTGTACGGTATCCTTAATACTTCAAGAAAAGATCTCAACAATTGTACGAGACTACAGTGTTCTCCGTAACAAGTAGACTCGAGCCTCGCTGGTTTCCAGTCGACGTTGTTAGGCATCTCTTTTTTTTTTTCGTTTCGAGGCTCGGAAAAAGTACTTTTAAAACTGCATTTTCTCCCTCTCCAACAAATCTGCCAAAGTCACTATTTATCATCGGCCGTCGTTGTCGACCAACCGACCAACATACAACCAACAAAACAGCGCCGAGTGTTTCGCACCGGCGCCGACAAAGCTGCGTATTCCCAAATATTCTCGGGCGACATGCTCCGCCGCTTCGACCAAACGGCATCGCCACGATTTGGTAACGGCAGCAAAAAAGCACAACCTACCTCGGCTGTGTACAAAGATCGCGAGATTCATATCTCGTTAAATTAGCGACACTCATCCCCCGTGTCGAGGATGCCACGTTTCTCCTCAGCGTATGTCGCGCATACGCACAAATTGCTGAGCGACCATCTCCAGGCCTCCGTTGCTTATCAGATCAACGTCATTCGTGATTTTGATTATTTTCTGCTTGAGGAAATCCGCATTGATATCGCATCCCTGTATATAGTCGGATATCAGGAAGTTGTTATCGTTCAACGTGGGTGGCTGATTTTGATTTTGCGGCGGTCGGTTCCGCGATCGCGGTATCTGATCCGCCGGCTCCATCAAATGAGCATGTTTCTTGCGTTGGTGTTGCAAGAGTTTTGCCTTAAATTAGAATTCATGTGTTCTAAACTTCTGGCACTTGTTGAATATAATTGAATTTTATATAGAAGAAAACTTACCTTGCTGGCGTATTGTTTGTGACACCATTGGCAGCCTTGCGGACTAGTAGTGATGCTGCCCACTGTTTGGCTGAAGCTTGGATTCGGCAGTCCCGAGAACTCGGATTCCTTTTGCCGGTTGCTAGGCGGCAAAGCCGCACCGGGATGGTTCTTCATAATATGCGCTTTACGCTTGCTGCTACTTTTATAAACCTTAAAAGAGTACAATGCGTGAAAATACGATAATTTTATTTCTACAAAAGAGGTAGAACTTTATTCAGTTACCTTGTCACAATACTGGCAGTAATAATCTCTGGTTTGTCGCAAAATTGGTAAGTTCAATTCTGGCACAGATTCCGGTGCGACGTCGGGATGCCGTTTCGCAAGATGATTCACCAGCATTCCTCTTCGCTTGAAACCCACCAGGCATTGATGACATTTGTAAATGAAGCGATTGTAATCACTCGGATTCACCTGTCGAGAAGATAATTTGTGTAACATGCAATAAGTTATGCATTTTTACTTTGACATACCTTTGGCACAAATTTCTTGGTCTGGTTATTTTGTGTCATTTGATCTCCGTTAACCGTTTGAGAATGATGTATCTTAGTCATGTGTTCTTTTAATTTGTCCTTTCTCTTAAATCGTTTACCACAGTTTGCACAATGGAATTCTCTGTGTAACAAAAGCGAATGAAATGATTTTGCGCATTTTATCAACGCGATAAAGAGAATTGTAGAAATTTTACCTATGATCGGAATGTTTTAGCAGATGCATTCGCAATTTGTCGACCGTCGGGAAACGTTTCGCACAGTGTTGACATTTGTGCTTCCTTTCGCAGTGATGTGCACGAATGTGTTTGCGAATGACCGAATATTTGATAAACGTTCGCTGGCAGTGGGGACAGCTGAATATACCGTCTGGATTTCTATGTGTCTCAACGTGATCCTTCAGCATCGTACCTTGGCGAAATAGCTGCTTGCACATTGGGCATTCGAAGACCTGCTTATTTTCTGCAAAAATTGAAATTGTAAAAAAACACCGCGATCAATACTCTTTCGACGCGGCTTGTTGCAGATTTACCTTTATGCGTTTTCAGATGACCGGACAACGCGGAGTTGTTCATAAATCGCTTCAAGCAGATACTGCATGGCAGTGGTTTTTGGTCCTCAGCACCATGCGCCAAGCAGTGCTGTTGTAATCGTATCTTCGTAGCAAAACGTTTGTAACACATTGAACACTTGTATGTACTTAGAGGAGTTAATCTCTTCGTTTTGGATAGCGCCGATCGTCCGTGCTGAGATACGTGATTCACCAACTCGCTTTGCTTCTGAAATTCCAGTCCGCACTGTGGGCATGCGGACGTTTGATTCTCTATTTTGATATCGATAGAAGAATGAACGGCTGTGTGCAGGTTGAGCAGAGACTGTTTTCTGAAAATCAAGTGGCACACGGAACATTTCCATTCTTTGTTGCACTTGTTTTGCCGCGAGTTCTCCTTTTCCTTCATATTTCTGCCGCGTAACATTTTTATGCGTCGATTGTAAGAATTGCCATCCAAACGCGGCCATCCAGGTACTAGATTATTAACTTCTACGAAAGAAAGAAACAAATTTATTGCATTGACTAATATATTTTCAGTAATGTATAAATAATTCTCCAAAGTTATATATGATACCTTTCTCATCTTTTATGTCTGGTTTAAATAACGGCAAATTTCTGCGACTTGCGTAGTCTGGACTAGGGCCTGCTTTTAACTCTTCCTTTGGCGAGATGTTTCTATTAGTCAGAAATACTATTCCATCCTTCTGCTGACAAATTATTAAATTCTGCTCCTTATACGAGAGTGCGGGTCGCACAAAACGCATCCAATTTGAAGTATCTAAAATCATAATAAAGAGTCAAATTCAACATCTTAGAGATGCAATCTTTTAAACGATTACTTACTTTCGTTGGAGACATCCACTTTCAGAAATTCACCAGTTTCAGTTTCATAAAGCAATGGTAAAGCGTTTTCAAAGGGCAAACCGTCGTAAGCGCACAGTACGCCTTCTATAGGCCCAAATTGTGTGCGCTTTCGAATATTACGTTTTGCAAAGACTCCGTAGGTCACGTCATTCGCTGCAGCATGCGAAGTAGATAGCTTGTTTAACGAAAGATATGATCCTGGCAGTGTTGCTACAGCACGCGATGGTACTGGTTGATCTGCGATTGTGCACACATCGTTCAGATTACAGCTATCGTCTTTCGTGCAATTAGTGTCGTAGTCGTCGCACCCTGCAAAAATGCGCATTCAATGTGGAAAAAATATAATCAAAATATAAGATAATAATAAAATATTTATTAATAAAAAAACTAATTGATTAAGTAACTCGTATACTTACAGAAATCCTTTTTATCTGTTATAAGTCGCTTGGATCTTCTCACATCTTTCTTCTCAATCGTTTTCTTCTTTTCAGTTGGTGGTGATTCCTTCGTAATTTGCTCGTATTTGATAATTTGTTGATCTTCTTTATCACATTCTGGTATAATAAAATTATTATTTTCTTTGTTTGCGCCTTCCGTTACTGATGGTAAAGTAACATGATTGTCTTCTATCTCCATATTTTGATTTTTAAACGTACTGATAACGTTTATTTGATCATCTTGCATCACCAAAAACTCTCTGGTTAGATTAAAGTCTGTGCTTGGTATTCCTGTTAGCATTAATGGGGTTGCTGAAGATTCCAACTCAGGCGTAGCTTCTGCAAATATATTACACATTAAGAAAACATAAAAACACTATCTAATATTAGCTATCTTATATTTTTAAGATATAAATTGTTTCTTACCTTGCATTAAAATCAATTCACTGTTGACGCTCGATACCAGTCCCTCTTCATTCCCATTGCCAACAAAGTCTGTAGTAGTATCTGTTTGAGATACAGTCTGAGTGTCAATCGGATGAGCCAGTTGAGTCACATAATTGATGCTTGTTCTTATGTTTGGTTCAGGTTGGGATATCAAAGGAGAAGAAGGGCTCTGAAGCACAACAACCGAATTATGGAAAGGAGAAGAGGGCAATTGGACCGGAGTAGGAGAGTATCTAGCAGTCGAGCTCATATTTGGGTCAAGTGGACTGACGCGGTGCTCAAATTCGGACAGAGGGGATGCTGCCCTCGGAGAAAAGGAAATCTGCTCATATGTGGGAAATAATCGTGACTGATCCTCCACATATTCCACCTAGTAACAGACAGGACCCATTGTAAAAACATCATCAGTGTCATCATATTATCACTGACATTCCCCAGGAGTTTACTTACAGTCAAAAATAGAAGCCTGTTGTTCAATTTTTTCGGTTGTTCACACAAGGATGAAGCAAAAGCGTGATCAGTAGGCCAATTCACTGAAATGTCAGCTCCCTTGTCAATGCTGGATATCTCAAAGGACTCAGCAGGGGCCCCCTCAGGAGGGCCCCTTGGATCCATCTTACGTCCTGTATCGCACCAGAGGAGTCGGATATTTCGTCGCCCGTGCCTATTAATCACATTCGACAGAGATGAGATTGACAGACTACAATGAAATCAAGTTGTGTTAACCGCGATCACGCGCAATTCTTCGTGCTTCGAGATTGACGTGAGCAGCGAATGACATCGCTCGAGTCACAGAAACAGGTGTTCGTCAAAGCGAGCCTCCGTTATTTTGAACGAGGAGAACTTACCAGCCTCAACATATATGTAGGTTTCGAAGTCGATGCACCTCTTGCTCGTTGCGATGCACTTGCTGGTGCAGCAGCACTGACTCGTCAACAGTCGACGACATCAATTTTACATCGCGTTTGAGCACCACTGAAATGGCGGGAAGTTTTAAAAGCTGAACTACAAAGCTTCTCAGGATTTGTTTACAATTATAAATTATTTTACAATTACAATAAGTTATTTATGACTTTGATACAAAAATTTAACGCATACCAGTATTATGATATTAATTATTTTTACAAATAAATGTTAACACAAAATACTTTGTTATATAAAGTTAATAAAGATTAATAGAAATGTATATGATATGTTGTAATTAAATCAATCAAAAAAGTTGAGATTATTTATATAAATCTATTACCTTTTTCAATGGATTACCTACATAGTTTGACATTTCTATTTGTTCAAATATTCTGTATATTATAATAATCCCGAGTGAGTTGATAATTTAAAAAAAGGAGTTAAATTATTTTATTTATTGTAACAAAAATAAATACATCATATAGTGTAATATTTAGGGCAATCTGTCATCCTTTCCTAACTGCCATTTCCACCTTCGTTTTATTGAATTCATGAATGGAGGGTGGGACATTCACCTGAGGTCGGGGGACTTTCCTTAACAACAGAAACAAGCACGCATAAACAAGAGGCTAACTCCACGATATAAGTTGATCGATATAGACGACAATTATTAGTTTTAAGAATCGAACGAACATGGTAATATTCGACGAAACGAGAAAGTTAATGGAGGAGATGATGAAAGTGACGATTTTCCCGCCATCCGAGAAACGTCGGATGTTGGAAGACGAAAGAAAACCTTTCCTGGATCCGAATTTGATTATGGATGCAAGGCATAAAATATTTCGCGAAGATGTGAATTCTACAGCAAAGTCGTCTGTACTAGCTGAGGCACGAAGGTATGCTTTTTAAAGTACATAAAATTTGTAATTTTTTTATCGTTTATTTGATCAATTTCACATTATTTATCATTACAAAACTATATAAACATTAATCACTTTTAGGTAGAAATAATGAAAAAGATGTTGAGCAAATCTATTTGATTTATTTATTCATTATAGACTACTAACACATGAAGAAACAAGGGAACTGCAGTTGAAAAGAGAACAAGCACTTATAGAAAGGGAATTACAAAAATTTGAGCAAGATTTGCAAAAGTCTCGTCCAAAATTTTGTGGACCATGCAACAGAAAAAATTTAGCTAGTTCAGATGATGAACATTTCTGGAAAACATCCAGTAAAGTCCAGGTAAGGCAGTGATTAATTATTTGATAAAGACAAATCAAATATTAGATTATTTGAGATGCATTTAATTATTTAAGTTAAGAAATTTATTGATGATAATATATTAATAAATAAAAATATTTATAGCGGGTTCTTATAAATAAAAGAAAGACAAAAACAGAGCAAAAAATAGTTGCTGTCCAAAAGAAGACCAAACAAATATTCATGGAAGTTTCTCCTGCCGAATCGAAGAATATTAAACAAGATTCCATAAACGAGATTGAAGGAACATCTTTTGGTAGCATTAAGGTGACCATCAAGGATAAACCGAGTTGTGAATTGGAAGAGCATCGATTACACACTTTGAGATCATGCTTTGAGGCTCTTCAGGAAAACGCACGCGATAAACGACGTCTTCGCGAAATCAAGATCAATATCCAAAGTATCGCGATTCGAAGAAACCTGAGATCGTGCATTCGCATGTGGAAGGCGCACGTAGAAAAGGCAAAAGCTCAGCGAGAACACAAGGCGGAAAGTTCCGATGCACGCAAGATTGAGAAACTCATTGATACTATTACAGAGACACAGAAGGAGTTGACAAAATGTCAAAGAATGGAATCTTCGGAAAAGAGGCCTTTTTCAATCAGAAACACCGAAGTGAAGAAGAAAACTCCATCCAGGCCGTTCGTCATCGAATCGCCAGCGCAGAGTCGACTGAATGCCCAGAAGGAGATCATCCGCAAGCAGAAGATGAAGCTGGCTGAACAAGACAAGATCATCGAGGAACTGAAGCTGAAGCAGGTGCAGGAGGAAATAATGAGGGCTGGCGAGGAGACGGTGAACGCGGCTAAAGAAACTTTGACTCATTGCGGTCAGCAAACCAGGAGGACCTTGATCCAATTGATGAGACAAGCAGGCTACAGGTAGTTTAGTAATTCTAAATTTCCTTATTTCATTAAGAAACAGCTCTAGAATGAATTGTAATATTTTTTATTTTTGAATATAATCTCTAATAAATCTTGCAATTAAAAATTTAAAGTTTCAGACACTTAGTAATCAAGATGCATCTTTTTAAATCAATCTTACATTTACGTCATACAGTGTTTTTTGCATCAGATACTGTGTAATTTTTTTTTATAACGCAACGATGATGCAAAAGATAAAGACGTCAATGGATATTAAAGTATCAAATTAAAGATAGACCGTTGATTACATCGCTCACTTCATACGCTGATCTTTCTCTATGGCTCGTGAAGTAGAAAGTATCTTAAAGAGGAGATGTTCGAGCTCCTTTATCTTATAGTAAACTAAATCTGGTTACACGAGCGTAATTTGACGCTGGCTGTCCTTAATTACACGTTTTCCGGGATTAACAGGGACAAGTCTTTGACGGCGCCGATACGAGTGCCAAGTCCGCCTAGATTTCTAATGAGGATGGAGGCGCGAGCGGAAGCGAGGAGGAATAGAATAAAACTACGCGAAGAAGCGCGACAGAGAAAACTGGAGGACGAGAGGAGAATGCAAGAGGCGGCTAGGAAGGAGGAGGAGCAACAGAGGAGAAGATTGCAACAAGAGGTCAGATAATATGAGAGGTCAAAGTATATTAATATCATGCTGGGTGTGTACCATACACTTAGCTCTCACAGCTTTCACCTTGCGGATAAAATTATCCCTCGCGAGGGATCCAGTAAATGTTACACTTTAATACTTTATACACTGATACACAATAGTTCGCATATCTTGCACTTTACAATAAAGTACTTCGTCTTCTAATGCCGCTGTTTATATACACGTATCTAATCTAAAACTTCGTTTTCAGGCCTTGCGCGAGGCGCGAAGATTGCGCGAGGAACGAGAGCAACAACGAGCGCGTGAAATAGAAAGATTTAAAAGATTGAATGCCATGGCGGAAGAATTTTATTGCAAGCACTTGTTGCGACGTTACATAATGGAACCGTTCATCGCACTCGTTGAAACAAAGAATAATCGCATGAACAAAGCCGAGAATCACTATAGACGGTGCTTACTGCGGAAAGTATTCATGAGATGGAGAATGGAAACAGAATGCCAAACTCAAATCAAAACCGAGTTAGCTATATCGTTGTACAATAGAAACTTATTGTGGCACGCGTTGCAAACGTGGAAGGAATTTGCAAAAGAAGAGAGAAGAAAAGAGCAAGTTGCTAAAGATTTTTCCGACATGAAATTGCAGAACAAATGTTTCAAACTGTGGAAGATAAAAACAATGGAATACAAAGCAGAACGATTGAAGAATGAGCGTTTAGCTTTAGAACACTACGAAGAAAAGTTGAAAATAAAGTACTTCAATATGTGGAAAAAATATCCCAAAATAGTGCCGCAAATCATGGAGAGTGAACGAATGAGAAACACGTGGCGGGAAATAGTGCAAGAAGTAATTCCGGATTTCGATCCCAAACAAAGAGGTGTAATACTAGAAGATTAATGACAAATTTAGAAACAACATAGATTTAATATTGTACAACACAATCGTTGGCCTCGTATCTGAATGAGGTAAAGAGTAGCCTTACTCCTAAATATATGTACGATAAAGCAGCATTTTTTTACGCGGAATAAAATTTAAATTGTTACTATACATTTGTGTTAATATTCCTTCTTTTACTTCGTGAACTTGCTTTAGTATAATTAATTAGTATAATTTATTATATTACTCGTACAATGGCCACGTTATCACAGTTACAATAAATATACAAATGTTATGCACAATGATACATTGAAGATAATGGTGAGTAATGGGAATCGGTACTGCATGATATGTGAACATGATTTTACAAGTACAACGTTAGGAGAAAAGCGTATGTGTTGTACTTACCATATGTTATGAATTGTTAAACATATAAATATTAGAATACATTAAATAGAAATGGAGTGAGTAATCAAACCGATATTAATAGCTATATTCCCAATCATCTTTTAAATTACACCACCATCAACGCGTGACTTGACAAATGCCAAAGTGAACTTGACGCCATGGCAAATCTTTTGGCCTTAACGTTATCTAATTTGTCGAATTTGATTTCATTATACTCTTTGCAAATAGTACAGTACGTACATTGCGCAAAGTAAATTCAATAACCTAGTTTACGAATACCTCTAGGTTTTGCAGCAAAATAACCGCGATACATTTTTTAACATTCCATGGTCATACTGACTGCCGGCGTTCAATCGTCGTTCGTTCGATGTCGTGCCAAGGGAAAGCAGCCATAGATGGTATATGAGATAACCAAGAAGCACTAAGCCGACGATGAGGCTGTAGAGAGCAGAGATGAAGCAAAGAGCGATGCTGAAATAATATGCAACATCATTAAACATCGATTGGCACGAGTGAATAGTTGCGCGTCATGTTATCAAATTTTTATATTGCAGGAAACAAATGAGAGATATCGTAATAAATATAACGTTAAATCTTGCAGGCTCGACAATTATCTTTATCTTGCAATAATTAAGCTTTATAGATTGCCAGTATCTTTCCAGTTTACTTCGCTGAGCCTCGGTATCAACCCAATTATATTTTCTGTGCTTGTAATATAAACGTATACTTTTCACTCTGTCGTGAAACAATTTCAAGAGTCCTATTCAACATGTTTTATATTCTCAGTGGGCATCAAAGTGCAGTCAGGGAATACAGTGAATTAATACTTACTCCAGTTGATGATACACATCACTGCAATCATCTGGTAGAAGTATGGTTCCGATAAGTATAAATGGATGACAAACGCTAGTCATAGTTAAGTTAGAACCATAGATGAAAGCAATTGCGGAAAAGAATAAACAACCTAAGTACCATCTTAAGTTACTGGAACCTATGCAACAATCCAGCCTAAAAAACAAAAAGTTGAATATGTGATTCTCGAAAATTGATTATATAAATTTCACAATTGAAACAAAGATATTCATTATACCATTTGCAATGATATTCCCTGTTAAGTATACAAGTCTGACACAAACGGCAGTGATGAGCTTTTGGTGGCGCCCTTCTTCTGCACATAGTACAGAGATCCCCACTGCCTTCGCCCAATTCCAAACCCTGCATATTGATGGCGCCTTCCTGTGCTGCAGAATCAGCATTTAATTTGGCTCTATAGCCGCACCATATGCCGCCGACTACGCAGACCATAAATAGCAAATTTTCCTCGGGCAGGATCTCCAACAGCGGCACAACGCTCAATTCAAACACCAACATAAGCATCAGGATGCTTGTGATCGTCCACATAAGGAAGAACTTGGTGCGCAATAAGAATCTAAGAAAATTGTGATGTAGATAATAGACAAGAACTGGTGTCGCCAGGAACACGACAACCGTGCAAAGAACGGCTTGGGCGGCGATTATCGCCAAGGTCGGCACCACCAGCAGCGGCAGCATTGCGTCTACGGAAATCTGTTTGGCACCCGCGCGCCAACCGCACGGATTACGTAGCCTCTCCCAAACGATCATACTTCGTCGTCGACGCGAGCTGGGAATATATTTTCACACGTACATATGCGAGTTGCGTCGACGACGACGTCTTCGAGGTTAGGCCGACTCTCGTGTACCGCGCCGTGATGCCTCCCTAACCTAGAGACTCCCTAGTTAGAGTTTTAAATATTAAACCAAACATAGTGATTTACTAATAGTTACTTCATCTAACACACAGTTTGGCTGAAGTATGTAGAGATGCTGGCGTCCAATAGAAAAATGCGTTATCTAGAGACTTTGTCAATAAATGTTTTTATTGGATATTGATGTCATACGTCAAATAATGCAGGTAGTGTGAATTATCTATTAACCGCCATATTTGTTCTAACATTTAAGACACTCTAGGTACTGTGCTTTAGGAGGTCCAAACACAGCTATGGAGTCGATGTTGTTGTTCTGACAAGTGATTGACAGTTGCAACAGGCCGAACTCAGCACAGCGTCTCATAATGTCACATTGATCGAGGTACGTCGCGTGATCGACGTCTGTGTGACCAGATAATCGGTGGCAATGCACGAAAGAAATTTCTCGCAGCTGATCTCGCGTCGTCTCTCTGTCTAGCTAGAGATAGTTAATGAAAACTATGGATCTTGCTTATATATAAAATCTGTTTTTATTTAGCTGCACGGTGTCGCGCTTTCTACACACATATTATACTTAAGGAAAAAGATGAAGTAACTACACACATTATACTTAAGGAAAAAGATGAAGTAATTTGCAAGAAAAATGAAATGCAGCTAGAAAAAGACAAATTTAATTGAATTTTGTACACGGGTTTGATTTTGATTATACTTTTTTATACCTTCTACTGATAAAACAAGTAAACACAGCGATTATCAGCTGTAGCGGGAAATGGATAAAAAATAGAGAAAATTATCCATATTTACATATGAGCCTATATTTACATATTTTTTACATTTTTTTGCATTTAAAATATAATTGTTTTACACGACTATATTATTAGAGATAGATGGAAAAATAAAATAAAGTGCAAGAAGTACAATCAAAACATGCTGACTTGAAAAGTTTTGAAAAATAAAATCATGACAACTCAGCTGATATCGGTCGCGCTGCGAATGGCGGGAATGCAAGTCGAAAATATGTTCGGCGTGGCGCAGCAAAGGCGAAAAATACAAAACTAATCGTTAATATGAGAAATAGATCTGTTCTTAATTATTGACTAGCAAGAGTAGCGAAGGTCAGTCGTTATCGTTATCGTCTTCGATGATTTTTGTTTACCGACGTTGCGCATTGATCGCGAAAAATCAGCGCAGCGATAAAATAATTATAGAACGCGAGAAAAATGAGTATCGTCGTTAACACGATGAAACTATACTAACATAAAATTAGTATAATGAGCCGCTTTGATTTCATGCTATGAATATACAAAAGCGTTTTTTGCGTAACATTAAAGTTGCAACAATTGATGTAAGACTGATTTCTTATTCTATCTTTTAATTCGGCAGAGAGAATTACTAAAACCGTGTGATAATTCATACTTTACCATTTCTAGATTCTCATAAATCATCCCGAGGTGACAGTCTTCCTCCTTCAAGAGAAACGCTTTATCACCAACCCTTTAATTTATTTCACACACGGACACTGAAAAATTACTCGCTTCTTTAGCACATTATTATCGCACTGTCAGGGAGCGAGAGGCTAATTAAAGCACGACGAGACATAGAACTCTATTAAGATAATCGGCTACCATAATAATAACCGACAACTGCAAGAGAGTTAAAGATTGATCGACAATTACGGCCGCGCGGCTGTTGTCTACTGAACTGCTCTCAATTGCACGTGTACGCGATTATCGCATTGTTTGCTATGCTTAGAGATTGTTGGGTGGGAGAAACCGCGTCCGACTGCGGTATTTTGCATTGTGTTTTAACGACGTTCGTGTCTGTAACTATGGAAAAACGTTTGCGATAATATCAGGAGCGTATTCATAAATCAAGATTAGAACTAATCTCTATCGACAAACTGACTGAATAGTAGTAAAAAAATTGAAGATTAATTATCCCTGGTGTCTTCACACCGTAAATAATCGATAAGTGATGAATATTATTCTTTGATCGGACATTCCTTTTGCATAATAACCCCTGAAATAGAGCATTGTTCAGATACATTATATTAGGATGAAGCGTAGTGTCACGAATGATTAAGTCAGTCCACCGCGTGTTTTCAAAATCCAATCGCCTTTTATCGCCTGTATCATGCATCGCATTCACATGGTACGTTTATGCAGTTTGCTAATCCTTTTTTCTCTTTTCCCGATAGGCTAGCGAGGGGCCAACGCCGCGTGATTCACGACTTTTCGTCGTAGAAGAAGATCGATTGGAGGCGCTTGCGACTCGTCGGAGGCTCGACCGCGAATTTCCCCTTCCTTGTTGTGGGCAGTTAATACGCGAGGCGCACCCCGAGCTGAAGACTCAAACCGGAGGCACGGTCTGACGAGGAGTGCACTTGTTTGTCGACGTCCTGGATAGACATTGTGTTAGGTCTGCTTCTTCATTTTTATTAAATTTTACTTTCTCAGTAATACAATGATATAAATTTTGCAAGGTGTCTCCGAATAAACGGTTTGAATTGAAGATTCTTCTTTCCACATCAATAGTTTTGAGCAATTAGCAATTAAAAATAAACCGTGTGAGGAAAAAGTTTGAAAAGCATCAAGAAATAACATAGCTACAAAAAATTATTTGTTACCATATTAAAAAAAAATAATTATCTTCAAATTTATCAAATGTATAAAAGGATCTGTTAATGGATTTATTCTGAGACATCGCGCATGTGAGAATTAAAATTATAAACTAAGAAAAAAATGTTATCTAAACGATTAGTACATCATAAACTCATAAAACTCTGCAATTAGGATTTTTTTCAAATGATTTTGCAATATAATTTTTGGGTATTTATTGGTAGATAATAATAAGAGAAGCAACTTAATTTTTTTTTATTTAAAGTAATTTTTTTCTGTGACGCATTTTTTTATCTATATTCTCAGATGTGTTATGTTTATTTGAATGTTTCTTGATGTAAAAGTGTATTGAGTTATACTACAAATTAGATCCGTGTTTTAAATTATGATATCAATTTGCCCGAAAAGGTCGTGAGCTCCTTGAACTACATCATGGTTCACTGAACTATACCATGGCGCCAGAATAGATATCGAAGATCTTGTTTATTAGATTTTCAGTATCGTTATCGTGTTTAATAGAGTTATTTCAAATTGTTGAAGATTTATTTCTTAATCCCCAGACTCGAAAGGAGAGCAGTGATTGAAGAGAAGCTAATTATTGCCTTAAAATAGCGCTCGGATCTTGATTTTCTCTTTCGACACTCTTCGACAAGTTGAGTTTATCTGTTGAAGCAACAGTTGTCCAGTCGTAACGACTTTTTCAAGCAAAGTTGACATTACCGGAAAGAAGCAGTTTTGTCTTTTATCCTTGCTCTGAAATTTACGAGTTGGTCACATGCTCAGAGAAGTGATAAGGACTCAACATAATCGTAAAGCAGCACAAGAGCAAGTCGGCAGATAACAGCTACCGGTGGTGGTAGACCAGGTCGTGCCACCGTGTTTACGGCGAGCGGTTTCTAGCACGACTTGTGTCATTGATGGCAGTGGTGGTGGTTTATTGGTAGTGCTGGTGGTGGTGAAACGGCGACGGCGGCGGCGGCGGCAGCGGCAGTGATGTTGAGGAGCTTGTAATCCGGGGTTATTGCGCTCCGTCGCTTCGCGCCTCCATGAAGACTCCATAAAGCTCTCCGAGTTTCCCGCGGAAGACTGCAAACTGGTGGTCAATCGTGGATACGTGGGGATGTTATGTAAGCCATAGTCGTTTGACACTCCCGCTGGGTCGGATTCGTGACGCATTGCAACTTGTCTTGCGTTCAAGTCGCGCGATACTCCGCTCAGAGAACACGGTCAGATAGAGCCGAACGAAAAACGTCAGTTGCATTTCTTCCGTGACTGCAACAACGTTGAGGCATGCTACGGTCTTTCGATTATACCGCCACCGTAAAGTGTTTCACGCGCTTTTATTTGCATGCATGTAATATATTCGTTGGGGATATATTGAAAAACGTGTGACTTTCCCCCTCTTTCATTATAAAAAAAGATAATTGTTAAATACAAAGTATACTGAATTCAGGTCTCCGATTCTTAAGTGACGCAAGACCATGCGAATCCAGCTGTATCAATTTGCTCAGCGCAACGTGAGGAATCTCTGTCTTTCAGGTGATCAGGTTACTCGGTCAAAGGATGCGTGTCCCAAGCACCACGAGGACACTCTGCACGCATGGCTGAGTCTTGACGAAGTGATCAGTAATGAAGAAGATGCGCGGTTGAAGACCGAAAATCCGGAAGAGGAAGACGAGAAAGAGCGTG